AAAAATCCAGAAATCACATTGTCTGACTTTTGAAGTATTTATTTGCAAATTATGGTGGAAAATAAGTACTTGGTCAATAACAAAAGTTCATCTCAATACTTTGTTATATACCCTTTGTTGGCAATGACAGAGGTCAAACGTTTTCTGTAAGTCTTCACAAGGTTTTCACACTGTTGCTGGTATTTTGGCCCATTCCTCCATGCAGATCTCCTCTACAGCAGTGATGTTTTGGGGCTTTTGCTGGGCAACACAGACTTTCAACTCCCTCCAAAGATTTTCTATGGGGTTGAGATCTGGAGACTGGCTAGGCAACTCCAGGACCTTGAAATGCTTCTTACGAAGCCACTCCTTCGTTGCCCGGGCGGTGTGTTTGGGATCATTGTCATGTTGAAAGACCCAGCCACGTTTCATCTTCAATGCCTTTGCTGATGGAATGAGGTTGTCACTCAAAATGTCACGATACATGGCCCCATTCATTCTTTCCTTTACACGGATCAGTCGTCCTGGTCCCTTTGCAGAAAAACAGCCCCAAAGCATGATGTTTCCACCCCCATGTTTCACAGTAGGTATGGTGTTCTTTGGATGCAACTCAGCATTATTTCTCCTCCAAACACGTCTAGTTGAGTTTTTACCAAAAAGTTCTATTTTGGTTTCATNGACAAACATGTCGCTGATGACGATGACCTAATATTTAAAGAAAAATATATGCGAGAGGGGATAGGACCAGAAAAGTTTTTTTAAGCTTTTCTTGCCCCTCAGGGGCAAGAAAAGCTTAAAAAAACTTTTCTGGTCCTATCCCCTCTCGCATATATTTTTCTTTAAATATTAGGTCATCGTCATCAGCGACATGTTTGTCTGCTTTTTGACAAAACAATCAGAAATAAATTACTTTTACATTACAAGAACTAACAACAAATGGGATTTTACAGGTCCTGTTCATAACCGTTAATGATTTGGCTCCTAAATAATACTTTCAGTTTAGATAGACTTGAACAATATTTCAGTGCATCATTAGTTATTCCACAGACCAACACCTTTTGATGAGATGCAATGAAGTCTGGCATTTGTTCGTACGGGTGTTTTTTTTAAAATGCAGTTTCCTCTCAACATGTGCATGCTCTCTCTCCGTGTGAAAGGTCCCTGGATATTATGAGGTAATTGTTGATTTGAGGCTTTGAACATAATTTGAATAGTTTTATAGTCAACCAGGTCTTGTAGTTTTAGTGTTTTTAGTTTGATGAATAATTTATTTGTTGGTTCTCTGTACGTGGCTCTTTTTTGCAGGATGAAGATAGGATGTGTATTTGTTTTAATACATCATGTATGGAAGTATGAAGGAGCAGTACAGCATAAAAAAGGGAGCTTGATTAATTAGGTATTTGGCTTTATTCAGAATTGCTATTGATTTGGATATTTTGGCTTTGATATAGCTTATATGTGGTTTCCAACTTAATTTATTGTCTATGATTACTCCAAGGAATTTTATTTCCGATACTCTTTCTAATTGGACGCCATTTATAGTGAGTTTCTTCTCTGTATTGGTCGATCGATTGCCAAATATTATGAGTTTGGTTTTGCTTGCGTTCAATGTTAATTGATCTTCATCCTGCTCAGTTCCTTCTCCATTGTGACCAATAGCTGTTCTAAATCGTCCCCGCAGCAGAGTAGACTTGTGTCGTCTGCAAAAAGAATGGTTTTAATAGTTTTTGATACTTCACATATATATGTTAATATACAGAATAAATAGTAATGGCCCCAAGACTGAGCCCTGAGGCACCCCACATGTAACCTGCAGTAGTTGTGATTTATGGCTTTGTATTTCAACGTACTGTTCCCTGTTATGTAGGTAGCTGGATAGCCTTGATAGTGCAACACCTCTAATGCCATATCTCTGTAGTTTTTTTATTAATAATTCATGGTCAACCGTATCAAATCATGCTTTTTTTAAGGTCAGCATCAGTTGCTTGTTTAGTTGTTAACTGTACAGGAAATATG